GGCAGCAGCATGCTCCTCATGGCACCGGTCGGCAAACCGGGCCAGCCGGCCCTGCCTGGCCTGGCCGAGGAAGGCGGCCAGGGAGGGCAAGGCGTGGCCGGGACTGTGGAAGAGCTCAGCATACTCCTCCCTCAGCCCAGCGTATAGGGGGCAGTCATACACTGCGTGGCGTACGTCCTCTAGAGGGGCCTGGCAGTGGGGGCATGGGCGCTGGGTGCGGTCCAGCCGCTGCCACCGGCCTGTCTCCTCAGCCATCCAGTGCGACCCCGTGCGCCACTGCGCCAGGCGCACCCGGCGCCGGCGCTCGGGCACATCGCACAGGAACGACGCAGGCGTGTAGGCCTCCGCAGAGATGCTGCCCCCCCACACGTCCTCAATGTACCGCTGCACCTTCACGGATGCATGCGTGTACGAGGCAACATGGCGCTCCAGGAGCGCTTCCGCCAATTCAGGTATGGCAACCCCCTCGTCAGCAGTCAAGTCGCAGGGGGCGCCGGCCGCCGCGAGAACGCGGCTAACCTGCGCTGCCCAGGGCTGCCGGGCCAGTGGCAGCCCTGTGTCCGTGTCGGCAGCCAGCGCAACGCTATCCAGCATGGCAAGACGGGCGACCCGCTCGCCGCCCATAGCCTGCAGGTTGCTCACAAAGCGTGCAACCTGCAAGGTCCAGTAGGCGGGCAGCGGCAGCTGCCCCGTCTCTGCCAGCACAATGAGGGCTGGGGTGCTGTCCCGCACACCCAGCAGCCCTCGCAGGTACTCCAGCTGTACCCGCTCGCATGCCGTCCTGCCCTGCAGAATCAGCTGCGGCGCCCAGATCTGCGGGAGGAGGTGCTGCGACTGGGGCCCCACGCGGGGGGGCTGCGGCGCATAAGCCTGGACCTGGCGGGCGTGCAGGTGGGGCCGCGAGCCGGGGTGGGCGCGCGGGCCAGCCACGGCAGCGCGCCAGGCCATCTTCCGCCTCTCTCCCCAAGCCCATGCGTGAAACGCGTGCGTGCCTGGCCTGCAGGTGCATGTGGCCTCCTCGGTGCCCAGGCTGCAGCAGCTGCTGGCGATGGCGCCCGAGGAGCAGCGGCGCTCGCTGCGCCTAGAGATGGGGGGGGTGGGGAGAGTGGATTTGCCGTGCCTCAGCAATCTTGGCCGCTGTGGGGAGAGTGGATTCGTGTGGTGCGCACCCACCAGCTCAGTTGAGAGCGGCTGGTTGTCAGCGGCCACTGTCGGCTGTGCCTGTCCGCACCGCACCTCGTACATTGGCGGCATCGCCGCCGCCAACTGGCGCTGAACACCAAACATGCACCGGGAGGCAGGCCTCCACGATTGAACTGTGCGGCTCGCCACTCGCCGTGCCTCCCACTGCCGCCGCTAGCGTCGCATGGTTCGCGACACCCCACCATGTCACGACCTCTTCTCGTCCTGTGAATGTCACTCAGAGCTGGCAGGAGCACTTGCCGCTGACGAAACGGCAAGCAGACACCTTTGGTCGGAGCGGCTGCCGCGGCTGTTGTGCACCGCAGCCCACGTGAAACACCAGCACGGCGAGCCGCATGCATGGCACTCTGGATCCAATCTGAAATTGTTTCATTGCATGCACGGCATGGCATGCCAGTGGCTACTGCAGGGCTGCCAGCACAAGAGAGCAGCGCCACTGGCGTCGCTGAGGTTTGCTACCCCCTCTTCATACGTTTGTTATATATACGATCTCAAGCATCAAATAAAGAATGGTAATATCAACCGCCGGTCAGCGGATTATTGTTAATAGCAGCAGCAAAAACGCAGTGGCGGTCAAAACACAATATTAAGGGAGTACTATCTGCAGGTCGGGGTTGGTCAGAGTGACAGCAGTAATTATTTGAAAAACTGTGGACGATCAGGTCTTCACATCCAGTCAGGACGCACGGAGATGATCTTCGAAACGCTGGGCACGCCCTTGTCTGACACAAGCACCAGCATGTACCTGCAGCAGGGCAGCAGGGATGGTGCAGCACTGGGATGCACCGATGGTGCCGAGAAGCATCGGGTGCGAGGGAGCGGCGCATCCAAGCAGCGCCACCAGCCGGCACTGGCACTCACATTCCCGGTGGCATCTGGCTGCTGGTCGGCGGCGTCACAAGCGAGAGCTGGGCGCCGGTGTTGGCGGAGATGGTGAGCCACAGGGCGCGCGCATCTGCAAGAGGGACGTTGCAAGCTAGTTCGTACTGGACCAGACTAAAGGCCCACATTGGCAAGCAGGCAAGGTGGCAACATGGTGGGCGCATCCTGGAGAGGCAGGCAGGAAGAAGGCGAGCAGGCACCCCGTCTGGCATCCGTGAGCACACTCACCAAACGGCATGGAGTGGGTGACAGATGAGGTGCGGATGAGGATGGCGCGGTCAACTGGATCTGCCGAGAGGTACAACACCGTCAGGGTGGCCCCCGGCTGGATGTCGGCAGGCGCCTGTGCGATGACAGGCCGCGGGCCCCAGCTGAGGTACGGCGGCGTGAAGATTTCGGCGGTGGTGTCCCAAGTCACATCCGAGCCAGCCACCGCCACGCGGCAGTCGGGCAAAAGCATGGCGACGGAGTGGTAGAGGCGGGGGCGCATCGACTGCGCCAGGCTGCCCTTTTCACTCCACTTGCCTGCGCCAGAGGGCGGCACTCCAGGTTAAGCCGTGACACCGTGCATGGGAGAGCATGATGCGCAGACGGCAGGGGCAGCAACAGCAGTCGCACTGCTTCGGCAGGCAGTGCCCAGCAGCTAGCTATACACCCACCAGTGGCGGGGTTGTAGATGGTTGGCTCATACACTGGACGCGAAGCCATGCTGCACCGCTCCTTGTCGCACCACCAGCTGCTGCCGTCCTTGAATGTCATCTCCTGCGAGCGAGTGCTCCAGCCCTGCACAAGGCGTGGACATGGCAGGGTGTCTACTCGGCTCCCTGGTGCTGCCAGTCGACGATGCCAGCCCCAGCTCCGGGCAGCCAGCCACCTGCATGCTCTCCCTACTCACTGCGATGCCCTGCTCCGCGCCGTTGAACACGCCAACCGTTCCGTCACAGAGGATGACGGCGTCGCCCATCACTCGGCGGTGGGGCATGGGACCAACAGACCGCCAGGCGGTGCCGGGCCCGCCGCTCAGCTGCCAGACACAAAGGGGAGGGAAGGGAAGGGCGAGGGGGCAGTCAGCGCGTGGCGGGGCTTGGCGGAGCAGCAGGGCTGGCCAGCAGCCCTTTCGGCGGCAGCTGCGGGGCCCCTGCCAGCTGGGCAGGCAGCGCAAGTGTGGCCACTCGCCTCCTGGCGAGCCAGGCGGTGGCTGGCGCTCACATCAATCACGTGCGCGTCCCTGGAAGCCGGGGTGTCCTCGTTGGCCCAGTCTTTGGAGGTGCCGCCAGCCGCCAGAAACTCCAGCTTGTTCCAGGGCGGTAACATGGGCAGCGCCGTGCCAGCGCCTGCAGCGAGGGCCGAACGGCGCAGATGTGCGGAGGGAGAGGGAGGGAGCAGTGGTGGAGGGGAGGTGCTATGCCCCCGCCGCTCTCCGCCCCAGAGCCTGCCAGCAGCGCTGCCTCACCGGTCTGCGGGTAGCTCCAGGGCGCCCCAGGCCGCGGCTCGTACTCGAAAGCCTTGGTCCACTTGCTGGCTGCCACCCAATTGTACTTCCACTGCAGGGTGGAAAGGAGGGGTAGGGTGTCGGCGGGGCGACAGGCCAGGTCAGCGCACAGCCCGGGAGGGTTGGCCTGCCACAGCTGGAGGCAGGCCCAGGCGGCCAGGCCAAGCGAGGCAGCCACGGCATGCGGCGCTGTGCCGCTGCGCTGAACCGCTCGGCGGTGCGCTGCCGGCGGCGCGCACCAGCAGCGAGCCGGCGGAGACGGCCAGGCCGCCGTCGGGTGTGACAACCACAAAGGGGTAGGTGTGGATGGGGGCGGCGGCAGACAGCTGGTCAGACATGTCCCAGGTGTCGCCGGAGAAGGAGCTGCGGCAGGTGGGGGCAGGGACAGGGGCGGGAGGGAGTGTGTGGTGAGGGGAGGGGAGGGCTCAGGGTGATGTGGCACGCTGGGCGAGGCAGAAGGTGAGGCAGCAGAAGCAGCAGGCTCCCGCCCTCGGGCCCGTCCCGTCGAGGGCAGGCACAGGGTTCTGATGTCGCCTGCCCGCGTGCCGACAAGGCAGGCCGCCCAGTGCTGCGGGGCCCCACTCACTTGGTGGCTGGGTCGAACACCTGCAGGCATGGAGCATGGGGAGGAGCAGGGGCACGTGAGGTGCTGGCTGGGGAGCGGGAGGGGCACTCGGGCCCCGGCTGGCGATCGCGGCCACCTGGGCGCTGCTGCCTGGGCGGGCCCATCCGGCGAGTGCCATTTGCAATCATGCAACAAGCAGGCAAGTCACGCCTCCGGCAGCAGCAGCGGCTGCCAGTCTGCCAGCCCGCCGCTGGCCTGCGCCAGCCCTGCCACTGGTGCCGCCTCATCCCCAGCCGGAACAGCCGCGCCTGCCTTGCAGGCGGCCTTGTCCAGTGCCGCCGCTGCCGCGGCCGCCTCCCACAGCGAACAGGCGGGGACCGCTGGGTACAGCAGCCAGTGCTGTGCCATGAAGATGAGGTCGAACAGCATGCTGGCAAAGCCCAGCCCAAACTTGACGGGGTTGCCTGCGGGGCCGAAAGGCGGGGAGGCACAGGATGAACTGAGGATGGTGGGGCACAGGGGTTGCCAGCGGCAGCAGCCACACGTACAAGAGGACAGTGCCCACGCCAGCACCAGCAGCAACGGGGGTGCCCCTTCCCTGACCTGTGACCGCAGTCCAGTCGTGAGTCAATGCTCCATCCATCAGCAGCTGCACACACAGTGCAGGTGGCCGCGTCAGCAAGGCGGCAGCGAGACGTGCGCTGGAAGGAGCACGCAGTGAACATTGCGGCGAGCGGCCCATCACATCCCAGCATGCCTCTTCTTCCCAATCCCCAACGCCTGCCAGACAGGCCCACCTGCACCAGCGACAGCAGGCCGCCGCCAAAGTCCAGCAGCACATTGTGTATGTTCCAGCCGACAGTGGACTGCCGCCTGTAGTTCAGCCACACCTGCGGGCCGGGCAGGACGCCGGGAGGCAGGTGCGTGAGTCCTGCGCAGCACCTCCACAGGTGGCCCCTACCTGCGCCTCCCTTGCGCAGCGCAGCGCAGGCCTGCCTGCTTTCATTCACTGTCGCCTCCCCCTCACCCCCCAACCCCACCACACACGCAGCCCCCCCACCTGCGGGATGTACTTGACCAGGCTGACGGCCAGCTTGATGTAGGAAAGAAAGTAGAGGAAGGAGAGCCAGCTGAGGGTGGAGCCGCACGGCACGGCGGGCGCGTCAGCGACGGCGAATGCGCCACCGGCAATGCCGCCGCCACCGCCCTGGGTCGCCGCGCCAATCACTGCCGCCAGATAGGCCGTGATTGCAGCCCCTGCCACGCCCGTACCCAGCGCTGCGGGCCAGGAGATGCGCTGGCCGCCCCGGTGGTAGAGTGCGCACTGGATCAGCGTCAGAGCGGTCACCACTGACGCATGCAGCGCGAAGAAGACGTCGTTGGCGTGCACGGCGGGCAAGGAGCCGCCGTGCAGGCAGGCATACTCCTTGCGTACTCCAGGATTCCAGAACAGAGCGGTATTGTAGACGGCGTAGCACCTGCGGCGCAGGTGGTGCGGGGCGTTGATGTTGCAAAGGGCGGGTGCGGCGGCGAGACTTTTCGCCCCTGCGTGCCGTTGCGGATCGTGCGGCGCTTTGCGCCAAGGCAAGGCAGGCTGGTCTCATCCTGCTGCTGCTGTCCCCCATGCTGCTGTGCCCTTCTGGCTGCCGCGCTGTGGCCCTGCTGCCCCATCCACTCCCTGCCCCGCCTCACCCAAAGCCCAGCAGGTTGAGGAGCTGGAAGTCGAGCGACAGCCCCACCACGCTCTTGCGGCGGTAGTTGAGGTAGGCCTGGGGGTAGAAAGAAATGGACCAGGCACAAAAGTAGACCTGCAAGGGGTGGAGGGGCGGGGATGCGGTTGGGTGGGGCAAAGCGCGTGGGTGCGAATGTGTCTGCACGCCACACACTCATTGAGGTTCGGCACGGCAACAGCAGCAGCCTGCGGTAGGCAGGCTGCAAGGCCGGGCAAAGACCCTGTTGTGTGCCTAGACCCTGTTGTGTGCTGCAACCATCACAAGTAGTAAAGTGGCAGTAAAAGTGCCTGCTCCGCTGACTGATGCACTAGTGCAGCATGCAGCTGGGGTGCTCACCCAGCCGATGATGCTCGACACGCGGTCCAGAGGCTCAGGCATCACCGGGCACTGCTGGCTGGTGGGCAGCAGCGCACCCAGCAGCACACCCAGCACGACGGGCGTGCCCAGCCAAAAACCGCCCTCCCACGCCTGCCGCCGCCTGCGCCAGCACAGTGGGAAGGCACGTAGTTGGTATTAATGAAGCGCTTTGTTGGCGCAGCAGCCGGTGGCCTGGCTGCAAATGGCACGGTGCTGCCATCAGAAGCTGCTCCCCTGGCCGCACAACGGGTGGCGCCGGCGCCTTGCCCCGGCTCCCAACTGCCCGCCCCGCGGGCGCTGCAGGTGCACTCACATGCTGCAACACGGCGCGTATTCCTCTATGCAGACGGTGCAGCGCGCCTCAAAGCGGGCAAAGCCAGCGTCGCCCTCGGCCTCGACCGCCACCTCCACGTCGGCGGCTGCCGCCGCGTCGGCAGCGCCCAGCAGCGGGGTGCTGCTCATGGCGCGGGGTCGTGGGGGTTTGCTGCCCGAACGCACGGCTCGGCTGTGAGGAGGGGACGAAGAGCGGCAGCTGCCGCAGGCGATCTGCTACAGCGAAATGAGATGCGCCGCGAGTGGCCCTCGCCAGGGGATGCCGCGGAACGAAGGCCGGTGCAATGTGCGGGTGTCAGAACAAAGGTAACACTGACAAGAGCGTGGAATGAGGTCACGATGCCGAAGGGCCGCTCACCTGAGCGCTGAGGTCAGCCTTCCGGAGGCTGCCGCCTATCACAACCCACAATGCCGGCTTCTTGTGCAATGCAAAGACAGAATAGAGGAAAGCAGAGGCGCCCCTCGCCAACCTCCCAGGGGCAATAATATATGGGTCCTCCGCCGTCGCCGTTGCCGCCTGTTGCCGCCACTGCCAGCGCGGGCCCTACGCCCTCCCAAACCTCCAAAATACTTGACTTCAGAGGACACTCGCATTACAGTGCGCCGCTACTGGAAAAAGGCGCTGACGCAGCAACAGCTCACTCGGTGCGACACCTGAGGTCGTGCAACTGAGGATGGCAGCAGGGGAACAGAGAGCAGGCAGGCAGGCAGGGGAACAGAGGGCACACAAGGGGAGGGAATAGAGGGCTCTAGGAGATTGGAGCAATGAGTTATGCACATTCGTATGGACAAGGATTGGTTGCTTGCTGTGGCGCTCGGCAGCAAAGGAGCCTCTGTCAAAACGGGATGGATGGAATGTCGCTCTGCTGCAGAATGCACAGCAGGAGTAAGAAAGATCAAAGCAAGGTGAAAGCGAGAACAAAATGCAGAGAATTATATGCTTTTCTAGGGAGCAGGCAGCAGGGGCTGCTGGTCTGGCTGGTGTGCCACACCGACGCCGTGCGGCAGCTCCTCACGCTCGGCATCTGCTGCAGCTGCTGCCGACGGCCGGTGGCCATTGCCTGAAGCAGCAGGCAGCTGCTCGTCGCGACCCTTGCTGCTGCCGGAAGCCTTGGCCTCCGCTGATGCAGCTGCCGACGCAGCCCAGAATGATCCGGCGGCGGCCGCTGGATACAGCAGCCAGTGCTGTGCCATGAAGATGAGGTCAAAGAGCATGCTGGCAAATCCCAGGCCAAACTTGACAGGGTTGCCTGCGGGGCCAAGGGCAATGGCAAGAATGTGGGTAGGTGAGTGGTGGGGCACCAGGCGATACGGTAGGCACGAGGCGCGAGAGCAGCAGCAGCGTGCAAGCACAGGGATGCGGCCCAGCGCCTACGATATGGGCAAGGACGAGCCGACGAGGCAGCAACGCCCACCTGTCACGGCGCTCCAGTCGCGGGTCACCGCCCCATCCATCAGCAGCTGCACGAGCGACAGCAGGCCGCCGCCAAAGTCCAGCAGCACGTTGTGCATGTTCCAGCCGTCTGTGGACTGCCGCTTGTAGTTGAGCCACACCTGCACCCCAAGAAATGAGAACACCCAGGGTCGGGACACACTCCCCCGGCCTGCATGCCTGGAGGGGCCTGCCAGCAACCCTCCTCGAGATGCAGAGCCCAACCAGTCAGCGGTGCACATCGGTGCATGCATCCCGCTCTGCTGCCCCAAGCCGCGCCGCCCTCACCTGCGGGATGTACTTGACCAGGCTGACGGCCAGCTTGATGTAGGAAAGAAAGTAGAGGAAGGAGAGCCAGCTGAGGATGGAGCCGCAGGGCACGCCCGGCGCCTGCATGTTGGTGTGCGCCGGGACGCCGCCGCCGCCCTGGGTCGCCGCGCCAATCACAGCCGCCAGATAGGCCGCGATCGAGGCTGCTGCGGCGCCGGTGCCCAGCGCTGCGGGCCAGGAGATGCGCTGGCCGCCCCGGTCGTAGACAGCGCATTGGATCAGCGTCAGAGCGGTCACCACAAAGGCATGCAGCGCGAAGAAGACGTCGTTGGCGTGCACGGCTGGCATGGAGCCGCGGTTGAGGCAGGCGTACTCCCGCCGCACCAGCGGGTCCCAGAACAGAGCGGCATTGTAGACGGCATAGCACCTGCAACGGCAGGCACCGCAGATGCGTCAGAGGCAAGGGCGCTGCCGGCGAAGCCACATTGGGCGGTGGCCCAGCCTGCTTCTGGCTGCATGAAAGAGCGGCATCGCCGCCTGCTCACCCAAAGCCCAGCAGGTTGAGGAGCTGGAAGTCGAGCGACAGCCCCACCACGCTCTTGCGGCGGTAGTTGAGGTAGGCCTGGGGGTAGAAAGAAATGGACCAGGCACAAAAGTAGACCTGCAAGGCGGGGCGGGGCAGCGGCGGGATTGGGGTGGGAGGGTGTTCAAGCAAGCGCGCGCGTGGCGTGGCCACAGGTGTGTGCTTCTGACCCCGCCAGCTCCGTTTCTGCGAC